TGGGAGTTCATAACCCACTTGAATCAAACCGTGTAATATGATGTATTAAGAACAATGTAATGTTTTGAACGACCAATAATAAAATTAAAAAAAATCCCAATGACATTCTTCATAGAAATAGAAAAAGCAATCATAAAATTATTTGGAAAAGTAAGAGGCCCAGAACAGACAAAGCAATCCTTAGCAAGACGAGTGAAGCAGGAGGCATAATACTACAGACCCAAGTAACAAAAATGGCATGGTATTGGCACCAAAATAGACACACAGACCAATGGAACAGAATAGATGACACAGAGACAAAACCACATAAACACAGTATCTCATTCTAGAGAAAGGTACCATAAGCATACATGAGAAGATAGTCTCTTCAACAAACATTGCTAGGAAAACTTGAAATCCATAAGTAGCAAAATGAAATTAAACCCCCATCTCTTACCCTGCACAAAATTAAATACAAAGTGTATCAAAAACTTAGGCAATAGAACAGAGACCCTGTGCCTAATAGAAGAAAAAGTAAGTGGGGCTGGGGTTGTGGCTCAGCGGTAGAGCGCTCACTTAGCATGTTGAGGACCTGGGTTCAATCCTCAGCACCACATAAAAATAAATAAAATAAAGGTATTGTGTTCAACTACAACTAAAAAATAAATATTTTTTAAAAATAGAGGGAAAAGTAGGACCAAATCTTCACCATATTGGCTTAGGAACTGACTTCCTTAACAACTCTTAAAACGCAAGAAATAAAATCAAGAATCAATAAATGGGATGGAACCAAACTAAAAAGCTTCTTCTCAGCAAAGAAAATAATAAGGTGAACAGAGAACCTACAGAATGGGAGCAAATCTTTACCACATGTACCTCAGATACAGCATTAATCTTCAGGATATGTAAAGAACTCAAAAAACTCAACACCAATAATGGGCTTCCTTCCTAAAAAGACACTTCACAGAAGAAGAAATATGAATGGTCAAACATTTAAAAATGTTCAACATTTCTAGCAATTAGAAAAATGCAAATCAAAACTATTCTAAGATTTCATCTCACCCTAGCCAGAATAGCAATTATCAAGAATACAAGCAACAATAAATATTGGCAAGAATGTGGGGAAAAGGATCACTCATACATCGATGGTAGGACTGCAAATTGGTGCAAGGAATCTAGAAAGCAGTATGGAGATTCCTCAGAAAACTTGGAATGGAACCACCATTTGACCCAGCTATCCCACTCCTTGGTTTATATCCAAAATACATTCTAAATCAGCATACTACAGAGACACAGCCTCATCAATGTTTATAGCAGTTCAATTCACAATACCTAAATTATGGAACCAACTTAAGTGCCCTACAACAGATGAATGAATAAAGAAAACATGGTATATATATTCAATGTAATATTACTCAGCCATTAAAAAGAATGAAATTATAACATTTGCTGGTAAATAAATGCCTATCATTCTATGTAAAATAATCCAATCCCAAAAAATCAAAAGCAGAATGTTCTCTTTGATATGTAGATGCTAACCGACAACAAGGGAAGAACGATTAGCAGTTCATTGGACTGGACAAAGTGGAATGAAGGGAAGGGAAGAAAGATGGCAACAGGAAAGACAAAAGGATGAATTGGACATATCTTTCCTATCTTCGTATATACACGACCCATACAACTGCACATCATGTACAACCACAATAATGGTGGGATCCTAATTAGAACATGTTATACATATTCTATGTATGTATAATATTTCAAAATCACTGTCGTGTTTAAAAAAAAAAAAAGAATTGCTTCTTGTTAGGTTGCAGGCAATTTTCAAGTCCAAATAGGAAAGACAAAAGCATAACTTAAAATATCTATGCCTCTCATATAGAGTAACACATATAAATAAATAAAATCTCTTCTCTTCTAGAGAATTTAAACAAATAATAGAAAGTCAAGGATCTTAAAAGTAACCTAATATATTCATCATCTAATACTTAAGTTCTATACTTCTAGAATATCAGAATTAGAAATAGCACAACTTTATAACCCCTAATTAATGGATCTAGACAGTGATCATCAATGGCTTACTAACATCAGAAAAACAGTTATCATGGAAACATATACAACACTGCCTATTATAGATCCTTAGCCAGCCCTTCCCCCAGAAAAATCAAATTTAAACCTACCAAGTTTCTATATTCAACAACCAATCAGAAACTAATTCAGGATATAGAGGAATATGCTAAATGATACCATAAAAATGCAATCAACAATGTCCAGACTATGGGGTTTGTATAAGGCCAGTTCATTCAATGGAGAAATTGCAAGAAAACATAAACAGAAATAGAAGAACCGATGCTTTTAAAAAAAAAAAAAAAAAAACCTTAAGAATGCATCAACTAATCACAATATGTGGATCTTTTTTTGGATCCTGATTCAAACCATAAAACAAAATATTTATAGATCAATAGAGAAATAAGAGCACTGAATACAATAATGTTAACCTTTTAAGATATGATCATGAGAGCTGGGGCTGTAGCCCAGTGGCAGAGTGCTTGCCTAGCATGCATGAGGCACTGAGTTCCATCCTTAGCCCACCTTAAAAATAAACAAATAAAATAAAGGCATGTTGTCCATCTACAACTAATTTAAAAAAAAGACACAATCATGGTACTGGGACTATATTAAAAAACTTTTAGAGATATAAACTAAAATATTTATAGGTAAAATTATATGATGATTATGATTAGGTCACATTAAATAGAGAAGAAGAAGGGGGAAGAAGGGAGATTATCTACAAATTGGTGATTGTTGAAGAGGACTGATGGGTACATGGAGATTAGTATACTATTCTCTATTTTTACTCTTATATTATTATATTGCTATAATATTATTATACTAGTATACTACTATACTATAAACTATACTATTCTATTTTTGTGTTTGTAATTTTTCCATAAATTTTTTTTAAAAATTTCATCTTTTTGTTTCTTCCTGATTTCTTTTGCCGATTCCTCTTCTTAAACCAGACCCTTGAATGTTCATATTCAACAGATATGTACCTGCTAATCTCTTTCTTTTTTCATTCTTCAAGTTCTTTTGGTTAATCTTAGCTATATTCTTTCCTCAAACCAGTTATTTTAAGAAATTAAACAAGACCTTAGAAGATAGAAAGATCTCTTGGATAGGCAGAATTAATATTGTCAAAATGACCATACTACCAAAAGCACTATACAGACTTGATGCAAATCCAATCAAATTCCCAACAACATTCTTTATAGAAATAGAAAAAGCAATCATAAAATCCATCTGGAAAAATAAGAGACCCAGAATGGCCAAAGCAATCCTTAGCAAGAAAAGTGAAGGAGGCAGCATCACAATACCAGACCTTGAACTATATACTACAGAGCAATAGTAACAAATCAGCATGGTATTGGCACCAAAATAGACATGTAGACCAATGGTACAGAATATAGGACACAGAGACTAACCCACATAAATACAGTTATCTCAGACTAGACAAAAGTGTCAAAAACATATATTGGAGAAAAAATAGCCTCTTCAACAAATGGTGCTGGGAAAACTGGAAATCCATATGCAGCAAAATGAAATTAATTAATTAATTAATTAATTCCCTCCACCCTGTACAAAACTCAACTCAAAGTGGATCAAGGACCTAGGAATTAGACCAGAGATCCTGCATCTAAATAGATGAATTGTGAATAAATTGCAGACAAGGACAATGGCCTTTGCATTTTTACAGTACCAACAACATATTTCATGATTCTTTGTTCAGTTATAAACAATGACAACCAATTTGTGTGAATAAAGAACATAGCTGAGCGTGGCGGAGGTCTATAATTCCAGCAGCTCCAGAGGCTGAGGCAGGAGGATCACAAGTTCAAAGCCAGATTCAGCAAAATCAAGTTTCTAAGTAACTCAGTCAGTTCCTGTCGCCAAATAAAATACAAAGTAAGGCTGGGGATATGGCTTAGTGGCCATGTTCCCCTGAGCTCAATCCCTAGTTAACCCCCGCCCCTAACAAAAAAAGGACAGAAATAGAATGTCTGAATTAAACAAATAGTATAAGTCATTAGGACATAAATAAAGCAATTACAGTATATCACAAAATTAACCATCTGCCATTTTTATTACTTCTATTTAAGGGAAAAACAGAGATAGAGATTAGAATTTTTGTAGACAGCCTAAGAGTTATAAATATAAGGCCTTACAATTGGGAGATATATGAGTTATCTTTGTTCACTGGAATACACGTTCTGAGAGAATGAGTGGAAGGATTTAATACATCAGAGAAGATTAGCATGCCACTCTGTCTCAGAAAGCAATTTGTCCCAAAGTCTAATGGAACGTTGCTCCTAACGACTCCCTTCTTCTTGCTTCAACTATTGTCCATTTCCTGGTGACTTATAATCTAAAAATCCAGTTCAAAAGTTTCTTATGAGTTTCAGGTCCATTCAATAAACTATTATCAGATGTTTCTTCAAAAGTATTTCAAATTCTACTTAGCTAAAAGTGTACACATTATCTTCGCTACGAAATCTGCTAGCAGTGCCACCATCTTCTTAGTATTAATATCAGAAATCTGGGAGACATCATAGACTCTCTTCTTCACACCCTCAACTTTTAACTAATCACAAATTCAGAGAATACATAAATCTTTAATTGTAAATTATTCACAAATATAAATATGAATAAACTGTGTGGTGATAGGAAACTATTAATACAATAGAAAAATATAATTTACTAAGTGCTAAATGGAAAAATATATTAAGGTCAGTCAGGTTTTAGAATTAATGAAAAGCATTTTTATTACCTTTCCCAGTTATAGAGATTAATATTGATCTGAATTGCTTGATAAATAAGGCCAGCTTGAAGAAGCATTATTTCAGCCTCCTGTATGTTTCCACTAAACATTAGTATGTGAGCCATTTTTGATTCTTTAGAGGGAAGATCTTTTATTGAATTGATGTATTGAACCTTATCAATCTAAAACAAAAGAAAAATATTTGAAGTGAAAAATAATAGAAATATGACAAATTATGGTGAGAAAAATTACACATTATATATGTAAACATTATTTACTTACCTCACCAATTGCTGCATAAGCTATTTCTGCAGTAGTCATGTCCCGATTAGCAACTGCCATAGCAGCTAGGCAAGCCCACATGGTTTGCTCCTAAAGTAAAATATAAGAATTACCTCAACTACATGGCTGAAATGTCTTAAAACAAACTTCTAGTAAAATAATAATTAAAGCAGTTAATTTAAAAAATAAAATTATGGAACATGGCAATGAAAAAAAACTAAAAAAATAATGTGAGGATTTCATCGTGTTACTTTGTTTAAAATACATTAATAACAGAGAATTTTCAAATAAAATTTTCTAAATACTTTTCTAGTTATCAAGGATTTATTTATTTGCTTATTTATTTTTGTGATACTGGGGACTAGATCCAAGGTCTGGCACATGGTAGGCAACTGTTCTACCACTGAGTTACACTCAGCCCAAGGTTGTTATTTTATTTTGTTTTTAATCTGAAATAATTTAAGGGTATAAGCCCTCCCATCTCTTTAATGAGGGACCAGAAATTATAAATTACAGGGAAGCAGAGGAACATAATTGTTTGATGTTCTCAAACAATACTATAGTGACAAACAGCTACTACCAATTCATTGTAAGGAAAAGCATCTATTATTTTACAAAGTGTATTCTGAGGGATGTTAACTGATATTCAATAAAAGAGATCTATGGTCAAACACTTTTGGAAAATACTGAATTCAAATAATTTGAGAAATGCTGATCTAAAGCAGAGATTCTTAACCTTAGTTATACAAAAGAACCATCAGAAGAACTTAAAAAATATGCCTAATCCTCAACCCAGACCTAATGAAATAAAATCTCTGTGGGGGTAGAATTTAGGAAACTGACTTTTATAAAAAGTTCCACAGAAGATTTTTATATATGCTAGTATTTACAAACTACTGATCTAATTATAGCTTCTTCAAAGAATAAATCACACAGCCATTCCTCTGAATTGCTCATGTTCGTTTATAAAGCAAAAGACATGATCCTATTCATAMATTTTTTACTCCTTAGTTTTATCATTACTCATCATGCAAAAAGGTAAACCCATTCACAATATATACATAACTATGTATCTGAAATGTAAAGTACCTTAACAAAGCGACAAAGTCTTACAGCATCCTCCCATTTTGAACTGCTTACATATTCATGGAGAATAGCAGGATATGGTGATATGCTGATGTGTACCAGGGAGCCATCAGCTCTTCTTATAGTTACCTGATTTCCAACAAAACTCACAATATGAGGATTTTTATTAAATTCACTGTTWAAAAAAATAACAAAAGGCAATTTAAGATCACATTCTGAGCAAAATTTTCATATTAATAAATTTGAGAAGTAGACCCCTGAGGTGCATAGGGAGTTTTCAATCTCTAAAATGTTCCCTCCAAAGTTATATATGCATTAAAATAAATATTTGAATCTAACTTGCTATATGCACATATTTGAAGAAATATATACTATCAATCTAAAGTGACAAAAGTTCTTATGTATTTGAAGCTATTCTTAAAAGCATCTAAAGTGACCTTTTGCTAGTTTGGACCTTGTGTTCCCTCAAGGTCCATGTGGTTAAAGGCTTGCTCCCAAGGGTGATGCTCTGAGGAAGTGATGGGGCCTAGTAGGAGGTCTTTAGGTCTATTTCACTTTTGAGACATAAGTGGGTGGTTCTGCTCTGCCATATGCTCCTACCATGATGTGTTACCTCACCACAGGTCTAAAAGCATCAGGGCCAACCAATCATGGTCTGAAACTAAACCAAAATAAGCCTTTTCTCTTTATAAGTTGATTATATCAGATATTTGTTACAGTGATAGAAAGTTAACACAAATTTTTTCCATCTTAAGATAAATCATGTAAATGATTAAATAACTAAATTTTTGTTTTTAGAAGTAAAAGAGGTAAACTAATAAAAATTAAGCTGAATTCCAAGATTATATATTATTTTTTAATAATAAAAAGGTAAACTTTAAATAAGTAACTAACTTCATTAATTTAAAAATTAAGTAGTTTTATTTTGGTATCCCTCTGATTTTCCTGTGGCCGTCGACTCAAATATTAAAAATGAACTCAAATTCTAGGCATGTAGGCAGTGGTAGAGCACTTGCTTAGCTTGTCTAAGGCCCTGGGTTTGATCCCCAGCACTGCAAAAACAAACAGACTCAGAACAGATTTGAAAACCAAGTTATGGTTTTCATAGAAGCCTTTTCTCAAACTTATATTTTCTCCAAGAGTTTTCCTATAATCTTTTTTTTTTTTTTTTACTTTTAGTCTAAAACAAAAAATTCAACTTAAAAGACATATACATTCCTGAATTTCTTAAAGTCTATGATAATCTGTGTTTTGGGTAGTTATCACAAAGTTGTGCTTCACTGAAAAATTTTAACAGTGTCTGTATTAAAATCACTAAATCACATTGAAGAAAATTATCTAAGCTACCATTAAATACTACTAAGCTTGAAAATTATATTAAGAGGCAAATAAATGGTTCATATTATATATTCAATTTAATTCCATCACTTAGACCTCATTAAGCTAGTTTTAGCTGAACAATTTATTTGATTAAAATAAGATACCGTGTAGAATTGAAATCAGAGTGAATATATGACAGTCTATTACGGTTTCATTTACCACAACATAGATTTCTATGTAGTAAAATGTTACCTTGCATCTCTTTCATACAAAGTTTTAGGCAAAATGTCTCTGTCCACATAAACCGTATTGGGGTAATACCACACTGTGAATCGAGTATCTTGAAGTCCACAAAGGATATTGCATGTATCACACCATGCCAAAGTATGCACCATTGTTCCTTAATTTAACAAGAATATATTAATATTCTATTAGTTTTGATATATAAGTATCAAAAATATATCTTTAAAATCAGCTAACAAGATCCCATTTAACTTTTGGTAATGATGTCTCTACTTTCTAAATGTATGATGATAAAACATTCAAAATTCACATAAAAATTAATGAACATATTTGAATTTTCTACTTTAAGCCATTACATTTTTAATTTGTAGGTCTTTTCTTCAATGCCAATTTAGGTGCAGTAGTTAAAGACTTGATATTAAAATGGAGTGAAATAGCTAAGAAATGTGAGACCAAAACATTTTAAGATTCATTCAAGCAAGGAAAATGGTACATGACAGAGTAGAGCTAAGAAAATGGACAATAATTAAAATATAAAACATATTAAATTTTTACCAAGTTTGATAATTTGTTCTTCCTTCCCAAATCGTTTCACTGAAGTGATATAGAGATCTCTATTTTTATCAATGAATGCAATTTTTCTATCATTAGTAAGTCCTTTTTGATCCAGAGCAATTTCCAAGATTTCATTCTAAAATTTTAAAAAATATATAAATGTAGGACTAGTTTTAGTTGCAAGACCATTTTGATTATTTAATTACAATATTTATTTAAAGATCAATTAAATGTCACGTATTTATAATGATAAAATGTCCCTTTTAAATAATTTTAAGTTGCCAATATATTAATAATTCAAAAGCTACACTAAAATTTAGCTTCCTTTCCTACAATCCAAGTGAAAGATAGCCTTTAAATCATAATAAAATAAAGGTTATATAGATATGCTGTACACTGAGAAACCTGCTGAATTATCCATGAAGGATCAGGTGAAAAAGGTAGGGAAAATGAGAGGTTTAGTTCAATGAACAAGCCCCTCTTACCAAAATGAATTCTAAGTTGGGCACGGCGGTGGCATGCAGCTCAGGAGGCTGAGACAGGAAATCACACGTTCAAAGCCAGCCTTGGCAAAAACGAGGCACTGAGCAACTCAATGAGACCCTTCCTCTAAATAAAATACAAAATAGGGCTGAGGATGTGGCTCAGTGGTCAAGTGACCCTGAATTCAATCCCTGGTCCCTCCTACCACAAAAAGAATGTATTCTAAGTATACTGGTTAATACCTATATCTTAAGAATTAGTTAAAAATAAAATTTGGACATATGTAGAAATATTTCATTCTTCCAGAGCCTTAGATTTTATAGATTCTTCATATTCATTTCCTGTGAAATAGGAAATCTTATATAGGTATTATTATAATACTTATTTTGCAAATCAGACTCACATTTGTTAAGCAATTTTGCTCAGAAAAATTTGGTACCAAACAGATCTAAAACTTAACAACTCAGCCTCCTGATTCTAAGACCATTGCTTTTCCAGAAATAAGAGTTTTTCTGGCATCCTACATTAAGCTACCATATTAGCTAGTAAGATAAACTTTCTTATAACTTAGAAATGGTTTAGAATGTATTCATTTCAATTCAATCCAAAAGGGATTTCTGGGGGATCACAGAACATGGTCTGACTATGTTGCCCAGGCTGGTCTTAAATTCCTGGCCTCAAGCAATCTTCCTGTGTTAGCTTCTCAAGTAGCTGGAACTACAGGTGCATGCCACAGTGTCCAGGGATTTATTTATTGCCTACTGTGTCTGAAGATTTTGTTAGGAACTGTAAATTCAATAAGAATCATGATCATACCATCAAGTCAATGTATCTACGTGTACTGTAATTAACACCTTTTAAAACAAAACAAAATATACGCCTATCCAAATTGATGGGTCATATTCAAATACATTTTTTGTTAAATGCAGCTCTTTTCTGGAATACCACAGTTTATATTTTAAGGAAGTAAAGAATTTTGTTCTATGTATATTAAGACATGCATGAAATATACAGCTAGAAATTTTCAAAATGGAAACCTTTTAAAGAAATTGATTTTTGCCAGATGTAGTGGCACACACCTCTAATCCTAGCAACTGACATAAGAGAATTGCAAGTTAAGGCCAGCCACAGCAACTTAGCAAGACCCTCGCCAATTTAGTGAAACCCTGTTCTCAAAATAAAAAATAAAAAGGACTGGGGATGTAGCTCAGTTATAAAGTACCTACCATTTAGCAAGTGCAAGGCCCTAGGTTTAATCCCCAAGCACTAATCCCCATCAAAATTAAACATGGACAATAATGATAATAATACCTATGCACAAAAGGGAGGAGTCTACCTTTTCATTCAGCAGGACTTCCCCATTTTCTAGTTCTACTCTCTCTATTTCTGTTCTATTCATCCTGAGTCATTCTTTGTAGTGGGAGATGACAGTAATTTTTTGTTCATTAGAACCTTCTACTTTTCCCTGTACTAATTAATACTCATTTAATAACACAAAGATTTGAGTTCTAGATTAGGTTGTTATTATTTGGGAAATTTATTTTTTACAAACTTATTTCTACTGAAAAAGGAAAAATTTTCATCTTGATTTAAAATGACTTATAAAGGAGAGGTTGTAGGGAAACAGGCAATGCATATATTCCTAGTGAGACTGATTCACTCTCTTTGGAAGATAACTTGACAACTCTCATTAAAATTACAAATGCTCATATCTTTCAGGCCAGAAACATTTCATGAATTAATGCCAGTTATACTAGAACTGTAGCAAGAAGATCTAGAACTGGAGCAAGATGATGTATATGCAAAGTAACTCACCTTGGTAGTACTATAAAAGCAAAAGACTAGAGAGGACTTAAGTGTCCACCCTCTGGGCCCAGGTTAAATAAATTCTGATATATCCATAAAATGTACATTATATGGTAGAAGGAAAAAGGACTGGGAAAGCACAGTATGTATAGATATGGAAAAGTCTCCAGAAATAGTGCTTTGTGTGAAAATAGCAAGGTGCCAAGCTATACACTATATTTTTGGTTAAGAGGAGGAAAAAGATGAAATATCAGTTTTGTTTGTACATACACTAAAAATTTATGAAAGTATATATGAGATTAATAACAGTGGTTACTTATTTGATAGGGAGTAACTGTATTCATGAGTAACAGGTATAATAGGAAAAATTTTTCGTGTTTTTTGATTTCTGAACCACATCAATTCAAATTTAAAAACAGCACTTATAGAAAGAAGAATACAATTTAGAGTAACAGTTTTTTAGAAGTATAAAACAACGGAGTTAAAAGCATCTTAAGATCCAACACATCACTTGTTTGACACAGTAATATAATGAGCTCCTTTTTTTTAAGATTAAAAAAATGAAAAGCAAATAAAAAATTTTTATACTTCTTTATGGAGTAATTATAGTCTTAAAGAAAATGCTGGTTAAGGATAAATCAATGAAAAAACTGCAAGAAGTTTAAAATAAAAATTAGTTTTTATTTATTGCTAGGTCCTGAAAGCTTAATCAGTATAAAATATGCTGTTGAAAAGCACTAAAAAGCCTGGAAAATAGACATATAAGTCAGATCCTTTTATTCAATTAATTTTCATAATAGCTTCCTATTGCAGATTTTATCTGTGCCTAGTCTTTGTGACATTTTTAGGCAAAATATGTAGAATGCACACTGATTTTAAATATAAGACTAATTTCTGTTCTCCTCCTTGAAACTATTTTTGAAAGTAAACAAAAAGTAGTTATTTACATTAGAAATAACTAATGTCCATTACCTTATGAGAAAGAAGCTTCCCATCACCTAGTGGTTTTCCAGTTGATGCCTCAAAAAGGAAGATTACTTGAAAAAAAAAGTATAACATTACATGGCGTTTTATATTAGCATTTTTATTGGTAAATTTTGGGAGAATTATCATAATCCTCATAAGAAATTATTTAACTCTCTGAAACTCTGAGTATCTATCTATTGGCAAAGAAGAACAACAGCATCAAATTCCTTTTTATTAATGGGGTTACATTCCTTATGAAAACTGTGGAACTGAATATTCCTAAAACATACATTTATTTAAAACTGTTATTTATCTAAGGCATCAATGCCTCTCTATAGGCTCAACAATGGAAATTCAAATTTGTAATTCTGCTATCTCTGGTTTAGACCCATACATCATAGAAAACCACATCTCACAAAGAAAAATGTGTCAGGTTCTGTGATGCCAGACAACATGTGCTGCTAATTTTCTGTCATCCTGGGTTTCCTGGCAAAAGCTTCAAAAACCCTTAAAATTTCCTGAGTGACAGGACTTTCTTTGTTATATTAATCAGAGTCTTGGTGGGTACCTGGAAAACCTYAGGACAGAGGCTGATAATCAAAAGCACAAAGCATGTGATTTGAAGGATGGAACTTTTATGTTTCTGACCTCTGGAGATAGGAACTAAGACTGAAGATTATAGCATATTGAGATAGGGGCAAAGGACAAGTAGTCAGCTAGATAATAAATGATCTTAGAAAAAGATGAGGGTTGGCTATCAAAGAAAAGGAAATGGGTTGCTAACACCTCTGGGAATGCACAAGTGATTACCCCTGTGCTCCTGCTCCTTAAGCTGGGATTAAAACAGGGATTCTGGGATCTATAAATGAGACATGACCATCCCCTCCCCCAAATTCTCAGCTATGGGCCCCCTTCTCTGCTGTCTCTCTACCTGTCTCTTTCTTAAATAAGACTTGCTTTCTATGTTTGCTTGGGTGTTTCTCAGGTGTTTAATCTTCAACACCTGGGGATAAGAACCCGTTCCTGATTTCCAAGACCTGTATCAATATGGCCAATGATTAAATGAATTATGCCAAGTAATAAAACCCCATAAAAATTCTAGACAGAAAAGTTCAGTAAAGCTTCCTCATTGGTGAAAACACTGATTGCTATGAGTTGAGGACACAGAAGCTCTATGTTCCTTGCCAGGCCTTATGCTTTGTGTATCCTTTATAATAAAACGATAATCATAATATAGCTTGAGTCCTTTGAGTTGTTTTAGTGAATTATCAAATTTGAGGAGGTTATAGAATAAAATAGAAAAAAAATCCCTGAATTTATACAAAGTGGTGGCTGATATATAAAGTGAAGGCAGTCTTGTGTTAAACACTTTATCCTTAAGCTTTTGGGTTTGTGCTAACTCCAGGTAGTGTCAGAAATGAATTATAGTACAACCAGTTTAGATACAAATAGAATAGTTTGGGTCAGGAAATATAAGGGTTCACTAGGATGACCCTGACGCACTGAAACATTTGATTTGGGAAAATTATAAAGGGATAGGAGATGAGGAAGCTCTGATTCTTCAGTGGCCGCAGGATCATTTAAGGTATGAAATAGTAGCTATGTTGCAATCAGTTATTGGAGGTAAAAATTTATTTATGGAATTTAGAGATGATACAATTTCCAGGGAACTGGCTCACTAAATGCATAAGAAAATGTAAATATAATAAGGAAAAAAACATATGCAATTCCTTGTTTTTTATTAACTGTAAAAGCTAAAGTCAAAGTAAAGAGTGGGCCAAATATAAATTCTGATCAGTCTAAATCAAAGGCTCTTCTTTCAGGAACGTTAGTAAGGAATATGTTAGGGAAGATCCCGATTCTAGTCAGTTCCAGGTACAGCCATTAGAGCTATTTTCAAAGGAAAAAGTTATGCTGAAACAAATTATTAAAAAAGACTAGATCATATATAAATTTTAAAAAAGAAAAAGAAAGTAACTAACTTTATAAGGAACACTGCATCCTGGTTGTATTAGGAGGTTGGGGAGAGGGAGTCTTTTGCAAAAAGATGCATGAGAATTAAGTCTGAGAAGGCAGAGAAATTTTTCAAAGAAAAGCAAAAATGTGCTATGCCTGCATGGTGTTTTATAGGAAATAACTTTCTGTAAAAGAGCAGTTATAAAATCCATCTTAAATGGTAAAAAAAAAAAAAAAAAAAAGACTAGAATGGTTCCCAAGAGAATGGGGATAGATAAAGGGACTCCTTCCAACTGGGCAGATGGGGGTGGAGGGAGTATATCTCTAAACAGTTACTAAGAAATGGATTGAATAAAGCAAACGTTACTAGGATCAAAACATTGAGGTTGGATGAATTGATGAAATTCCCTTATGGTGATCCAATGTTTAAACCAAACTTATGTGGGCTACATGTACCACTATTTTCTCCTGATGATCTCTCTCTCTTTTTTTTTAATTTTAACTTTTATTTTTTTTTAGTCATACATGAGAGAATATATTTTGACATATAATACATACATGGAATGTACATACATCAATCATATTGTCTATTCTATTCTGCTGTCCTTCCTATCCCCCCTACTCCCCCATCCTTTCTCTCTATCCAATCTAGTGTGACACTTTTTTTTCTTTYTCTCATCACAACATCATAAATGTATTCTGTATAACAATGAGGTTCTCCTTCCATCTTCTGTGCAACACCCCTTCTCCCTCTTTTTCCCTCCCACCTCTCTTCCCTATTTAATGGTAGTCTTCTTCTCATGCTCTTCCTCCCTATCCCATTTTGAGTCACCCCCCTTATATCAAAAAAGACATTTGGCATTTGTTTTTTAGGGATTGGCTAACTTCACTAAGCATAATCTGCTCTAATGCCATCCATTTGCCTACGAATGCCATGATCTTATTATTTTTTAGTGCTGAGAAATATTCCATTGTGTTTAAATGCCACAATTTTTTAATCCATTCATCTATTGAAGGGCATCTAGGTTGGTTCCACATTCTAGCTATTGTGAATTGTGCTGCTATAAACACTGATGTGGCTGTGTCCCTGTAGTATGCTCTTTTTAGGTCTTTTGGGTATAGTCCGTGAAGGGGAACAGCGGGGTCAAATGGTGGTTCCATTCCCAGCTTTCCAAGGAATCTCCATTCTGCTTTCCAAATTGGCTGCACCAATTTGCAGTCCCACCAACAATGTACAAGTGTACCTTTTTCCCCCGCATCCTCGCCAGCACTTATTGTTGTTTGTATTCCTAATGGCTGCCATTCTTATTGGAGTGAGATGGTATCTTAGAGTAGTTTTAATTTGCATTTCTCTGATTGCTAGAGATGGTGAGCATTTTTTCATGTATTTGTTGATTGATTGTATATCCTGATGATCTCTTATATTGGACCATCCCTCATTCTCTTTGGCTAGTTCCTCCTCATTTGGTGACCTTTGTTCCTACGGTTTTGTTCTTGGTTGGCTTCATATTTAATTTTTATTTATTTTTTGGGAGTAGATATTGAACTCAGGAGCACTTTACCAAAGAGCTACATCCCTAGTCCTTTTTACTTTTTTGAGACAGGGTCTCACTAAGTTTCCCTTGCAATCCTCTTGCCTCAATCTCCTGAGTTGCTGGGAAGGACTACAGGTGTGTCCCACAGTACCTATACTTGGTTGCCTTTTCACAATATATTCTTTCCCCATTTTTTTTCTATTTTCATGACATCAATCACTACTTATAATTTGAAGTTCTCTATCTCCAATTCCAACCTTTCTATGATGTTCTGAAGAAGCCTGAAACAAATGCTGCCTTTATTCCCTTTTCGGTTTCACCAAAGTTTCTCCTACTCTCAAACATGACAGTGGTTTTGAGATACATATAATAATATATATAAAGCATATTTAATTCAAGAAGACCATATTTTTAATAAATTATTAGCTTAAGTTTGAGGTTGGTTACTGGCTATATTCACAGAGAAAATCCCATTACAATATTTAGTTATATTCTAAGATTGTCAATTATGTTGAGAAAAATGAAAAAAATACTATAGCAGAGATCTTAATTAAACACATAAAGAAAAATTAGAAAAAAAAATTGTCTTCCATTTTAAACAGTACTTTGGGCTTGGCTAAAGCCAATTATTTTCATAGCTATACAAATGAATAATGTTTAAAAAAAGCCTTCTGTCCTTTTCTAACTGTACATATTATATAGAGCTAGGTATATGTGGATGAACTCATCTACTTTTTCCCTCAACTGTAAGTAGATCTGATCTATGGGAGGTTAGACCTGTGTTTCAGTGTTCACATATAACAGAAACTGGCAGAGGGAACAACTAAGGAGCTGGGAGCTAAGAGTTGCTTCTAGACATAAACAACTGTTCCTTAATTTCCACTTCCACACACCCAGACAYCTTTCTAATAATTACCCACACAAATATCAAAGCATATCTCTGCAAAGTAGATGGGGGGAAAGAAGGAAGGTAAAAGCAGTAATTCTAGTACGTAATCACCCAAAGAGACATTCAAAGTTACCAACATCTATTTATTGAGCACTTATTACAATGTAGAGTACTATACTTGACCCAAGAAACCTAACTATAAAGGAGCTCTCAAATTAATAAGATATCACATGTAGATGGCTCCCTCTACATGTTAAAGATGCCAGGTACTTCAATCATGTTTACTATTATTAGAATATACATTTACTTAGCCAAAATAGGAAAATATTTTCCCTCTCAATTTTTTAACTTTATTTTTTAAATTTATTTTTTTAGCTGTAGTTGGACACAATACCTTTATTTCGTTTACCTATTTTTATGTGGTGCTGAGCCACAACCCCAGCCCTTCCCTCTCATTTTATTCATGTTCTACAATAATTTTATTTTAGTCTTTGTGATTTTCTGTTTACCACAAAATAGAACTAACTACATAACTAAAATAGTTATAGCTTAATAGTCAATAGCTTAACAATCAAACTTTATTTTTATTTTTTTTTAAAGAGAGAGAGAGAGAGAGAGAGAGAGAGAGAGANAGAGAGAGAGAAACAGAGAGAGAATTTTTAATATTTATTTTTTAGTTCTCGACGGACACAACATCTTTGTTGGTATGTGGTGCTGAGGATCGAACCCGGGCCGCACGCATGCCAGGCCAGCGCGCTACCGCTTGAGCCACATCCGCAGCCCAACAATCAAACTTTATATAAATAAAATAATTATTGGCATATAAATATATATATTTATTTATTTATTTCTGGAAATGTTCATAATTCCTCTAGCTCTAAAATTTTATGAATTATCAGAAGAATAAAGACTAATGAAATATAAGCTAAGTGCAATAGTGCACACCTGTAATTCCAGCAACTCAGGCGACTGATGCAGGAGGACAGTAAGTTGGAGGCCAATTTCAACAATTTAGTTAGACTCTGCATCAAAATAAAATTTAAATTACAAAGGACTTGGGATGTAGATAAGCAGTAGTGTGCTTGAGGAGCATGTGTAAGGCCCTGGGTTTGATCATCAGTATTGAAAAAAAAAATAGTAGTAGTAAAACATGTTTTGTATGTAAATTGATTATAGAAAAAATAAGCTTATATTCAGTTGGAAATACACATACTTTATTAAAGTTTTTAGCCAGAAATGCAGTTGTTTAAAAACAAATCAACTACCAAATGTCCTCTTTCAAAGAAAGCCTAAATAGCTAGAATTACTCTATTTTAGAGTATGAGAGGTGATACTACCTGAAAATACTGAAAATTAAAAAGTGGGATAGTTTCCTAGCTCCTTAGTTTCATCTTCCATGGCCTGACCTAGACACTCAAGTTAGATTTTTTTAGTAAAGTGTTACAGTAACAGACAATGTTTTACAACATGCATTAAAAAAGAGAAACAACTATTTAATAGTTGTATACTAGAATTTAGAGACTATTCACCCTCCTGGTTTTCCTCTTATCTCACTAGCTCCTCTTTCTCTTACTTGTCTTTAATATCAATGTGCTCAGTCAGTACTTGGTTTCTTTTTCTATATACACTTTTTCCCAGGTGATTTCATTCTGTGCCAAGGCTAGGAATATACCAGTAACTTCTACATTTAAATCACTACACCCAACTTCTCTCCTGAGCCCTGTACTTGTTTACTCTGTTGTTTATTTTTCATTTTTCTTTTTTTATTTGTTCATATTAGTTATACATGATAGTAGAATGTATTTTGACATTTTATACATATATGAAATATAACTTCTCATTCTTATGTTTGTTCATGATGTGGAATTACATTGATAGTGTAATCATATATGCAAATAGGATAGTAATGTCCAATTCATTCTACTATTTTTCCTATTCCCATTCTCCCTCCCTTCCCTTCATTCCCCTTTGTCTAAAGCAAAGTACTTCTATTCTTCCCTACCACTGACCCCCTTATTATGAATTAGCATTCACATATCAGAGAAGATATCCTGCCTTTGGTCTTTTGGGATTGGTTTATTTCATATAGCATGATAGTACTAGATCCATCCATTTACTGGAAAATGACATAACTTTATTCTTTTCTATGGCTTAGTAACATCCCATTGTGTATGTATACTACATTTTCTTTATCCTTTCATCTGTTGAAGGGCACCTAGTTTGGTTCCATACCTTAGTATTTGCATCACTGCTGATCATATGCTGATTTTAAGACATTTGCGTATAAACCAAGGAGTCGCATACTTGGGTCAAATGGTGGTTCCATTCCAAGTTTTCTGAAGAATCTCCATACCACTTTCAATGATGGTTGCACCAATTTGCAGTCCCACCAGCAATGTATGAGTGTGCCTTCTTCTCCACATCCTCACTAACATTAATTGTTGCTTGTGTTCTTGATAATTGCCATTCTGACCAGGGTGAGATGAAATCTTACAGTAGTTTTGATTTGTATTCTAACTGCTAGAGATAATGAACATTTTTCCATATGTTTGTTGATCAATTGTATTTCTTCTTCTGTGAAGTGTCTGTTCAGTTCCTTAGTCCTTTTATTGATTGTATTATTTGTTTTATTGGTGTTGAGTTTTTTGTTCTTTACGTAACTTGGAGATTAATGCTCCATCTGAGGTACATGTGGTAAAGATTTGCTCCCATTCTGTAGGTTCTCTGTTCATGTTGTTGATTATTGCCTTTGCTGTAAAAAGGCTTTTTAGTTTTGATTCCATCCCATTTGTTGAATCTTAATTTTACTTCTTGCACTTTAGGAGTCTTGTTAAGGAAGTCAGTTCCTAAGTCAACATGTTGGAGAATTGGGCCTACTTTCTCTTCTATTAGGCCCAGGGTCTGTGTTCTAGTTCCTAAGTCTTTGATCCACTTTGAGTTAATTTTTGTGCAGGGTTAGAGATAGGGGTTGAATTTCATTTTGCTACATATGGATTTCTGTGGTTTTGCAATATTAGTTGAAGAAGCTATCTTTTCTCCAATGTATGCTTATGATACATTTGTCTAGAAAGATCTGACTATATTTATGTCAGTTTGTCTCTGTGTCATCTATTCTGCACCACTGGTCTATGTGTCAGTTTTGGTGCCAATATCATGCTGTTTTTCTTACTATAGCGGTGTAGTATAATTTAAGTATAAGTCTGGTATAGTATAAGTCTGGTATTGTGATGTCTCCTGTTTAACCTTTCTTGCTTTGGCTATTTTGGGCCTCTTACTTTTCCAAATGAATTTTATGATTGCTTTTTCCATTTCTATGAAGAACATCATTGGAATTTTAATAGGAATCGCATTAAATCTGTATAGCGCTTTTGGTAGTAAGGCCATTTTAAGAATGTTAATTCTGCCTATCTAAGAGCATGAGAGAACTTTCTAGCTTCTAAGATCTTCTTCAATTTCTTTCTTTAGTGTTTTATAGTTTTTATTGTAGAGGTCTGTCTCCTCTTTTATTAGATTGATTCCCAAATATTTTATTTTCTTTTTTAGGCTATTATGAATGGGGTAGTTTTCCTAATTTATCTTTTAGTAGATTCATTACTGATGTACAGGAATGCAATTGATGTATAGGAATGTTAACTTTATTTTCTGCTACTTTGCTAAATTCATTTGTGAGTTCCATAAGTTTTCTGGTAGAATTTTTTGGGTCTTCTAGATATAGAATCATGTCATTGGCAAATAGGAATAGTTTGAGTTCTTCTTTTCCTTTTTGTATCCCTTTAATTTCTTTCATCTGTCTGATTGCTCTGGCTAGAGTTTCCAGGACTGTGTTGAATAAAAGTGGCAAAAGAGGGCATTCTTGTCTTTTTCCAGTTTTTAGAGGGAATATTTTCAATTTTTTTCCATTAGAATTATGTTGCCCTTGGGTTTAGCATAGATAGCTTTTACAATGTTGAAGTATGTTCCCACAACCCCTAGTTTTTCTAGTATTTTGAACATAAAAGGTTTCTCTATTTTGTCAAATGCTTTTTCTGTACTTATTGGTTTACTTCCATCTCTGCTTGATGTCTATGAAGCATTTAAATATATCATGACAAAAACAGAACTATTGATTTACAAACCTCTTCAAAACTTCCTCCCTGTTTTTTGTCTTCCATCTTACTTAACTAGGGTAAAAGCCTATAAGATAAAAAGGCTTACCTCCCCAGTTTCCTGTATGCTTATATCCTTACCATAGTCCAGTCTCTGTGATCTGGTTTTTGACTCTCTCTCTGTCCTCATCTCTTGCTACTCTTTCATGGTCACCCAATTACATGGCCTTCTGGCAATTCCTTTTAACATGCCAAGCATTCTCATCTCAGAATCCTTCCTATAGTCATTCCCCTTCCTCATTTCCAGAATGCCCCAATCCTTCACTTTACATTAGTTTGCTTCACAGCATGTGTAGATAGTATAGAAAATAAACAAACATATAATAAACTATCTGTTCCTTTTTATATCTTCAAAAAAAAGTATTTGGCCCACAAGTAAGAATTCTATAATATCTGCCAGATAATTGAATCTTTAATACAGTGATACCTTAATAAAATGGTTTCACTGTACTATGAAATTCCAAATCACTTAACAAAGTTATTTATAAATACTAAACTGGCCTAGGTTTTAATAGAAATTTTACTCATACCTTTCTTCCACTTTATTAACTTACATTTTTTATTTTTTGGTGCCAGGAATTAAACCCAGGGGTGATTAACCATTGAGTGATATGGTAAAAGTCCCCTTCTCCCCACTCTTTTTTTTTTTTTTTTTTTTTTTTTTTGAGACAGGGTCTTGCTAAATGGTGAGGCTGCCCTTGAACTTGCTATCCTCCTGTCTCAGCCTCCCAACTGTGATCACAGTTGTGGGCCACTGTGCCTGACTTCATTAACTTAATTTTAAAAACATGTAAACAAAACAAATGGTATAATGAAGTACAATATTCACTCTGTTACCAAATGAAGAAAACAGGAATATTAAAAAAAAATACACATTTTAAGATCACAATCTTTAATTAAAACTCTACCAATAGCTACTGAATAAAGATTTATGTCTTACCACCAATCTTGGTTGTTATAACAATATGTATGTGTTCTATCAATTGGGTATGATATAACAACTTTAGTTCTTATGTAATTCAAATTTAGAACAAATCATGAAGTTTATGACTGTCACATAAAGTTAATATATTAATAGATAAGAAAATGCAAGTTAATTTATGAAAATTTTATAGCATTAACAAATTTCATGGAAACTGGCTGTGGAAAATTATAAGATGTACTTACTTTTTTCATCAGCTTTGTCTTTTATGGCTATAGTATCATTACTCAGAGACACAGTCTGTGCATTAAGAATATCTGTTCTCATTCCAGGAAATTTTGGAGAAGAAATGAAGCGCCCTTCATAGGAATATACATAGATACCACCACCATCTACAAGAAGAAAATGTCTAAAAAATRAAGAATAAAAATATGTTCTTAGAGAGGAAGATACTATATTTTCATTTTATAATAAAGAATAATTTATCCTAGCCCAGACATGTAATCCCAGCAGCTCAGGAAGCTGAGGCAGGAGGATTACAAATTTAAAGTCTGTCTTAGCAACTTAGCAAGGCCCTAAGCAACTTAGTGAGAACCTATCTCAAAAGTAAAAACACTGGGGGCTGGGAATACAGTTCAGTGGTTAAGAACCCCTGAGTTCAATTCCCAGTATCAAAAAAAAAAAAAAAAAATCCTTTGCAAAAATCTAAATCTAAATAATAAAATCCAAATAATAAAATCTAAATAATAACAACAATATAAAGTAAAGATGCTTCTCTGACTTTAAAATCATATGCCAATCATCAGTATATATTCACATATAAACCCTACACATTTTTTACAACAGGGTTTCAGATTCATTTCCTATGTTGACAGTTAATATTAAGGCATAGGGCTCTGTACAATATTTTATTGGCTTATATAACTATTTTATGGCTACTACATTTTTCCTTTTAAAAAGGATAAACATTGTAAGAAATAATTAAAACAATAAAGAGAAAACAAAAGACTTCTTGTGACTCTACCTTTACAGAGATAACTATCGCAAAAAAAATATGGATACATTTTCATAATTACTTCTTAACTCACTTTTTGTGATGGATATTAATTTCAAATTAAATTAACTGTTTTAGTGAGTGTCTATAGTGTGCACACATCTCTGTATATCTATTCTACTTAATTCGTATATAGCTTCTAGAAGCATAATTACTGGATCAAAGGATATATACTTTTAAAAATTTAATATGTGGGCCGGGATTGTGGCTCTGTGGCAGAGCGCTTGCCCTGCATATATGAGGCACTGGGTTTGACTCTCAGCACAGTAGATAAATAAATGAATAAAATATAGGTCTACCAACAACTAAAAATATATATAAATTGTTTCAAAATTAAAATGTAACTGTTAAACTTCCTTTAGAAAGGTAATATTGATTTGTACACATAAAACTAAATTGGTGAGGCTTTTACTTTGTGTTGACAACATTATTGTAAAAAAAAATGTTCAGGGTCTCAATATCCTTGATTCAGAACTATTTATTGATTCAGGAATTACTAATTATTCAGGAATTACTAATTATTATGTACACACTTCAACTAAATTAATACCTAAGGAATGACAGGTAACATTTAATTGAAGCATTTTTCTTTGCATATCAGTATATGGCCATACCCATTAGTGTATGAAAACAATGTTTGTTGATCTTGACAAAGTGACACATTATATTAGTATATATTCTTTGTGTTATCACTAAAAATTTTTCTTTTCTAAATAGAACACTAGCTTTTAACTTTTAAGTAAATACCCTGTTTCTATGGGCTAACATCTCTAACAGCATAAATAAGACCAGTGGTAGGAGGTAACTAAAATATTCTTTACTTAATTACTTATGCCATTAATATATGCTTTTACAAAGAAAACATCCAATAAATACACTTATAAACAATGTGTAATAAATAAATTTATTTGAAACTCCTGAAGTAAAAATCATTTCAGAAATATTGTTTTTAGACACTGACGTCTTAACTTTTAAATGGCAAAAATGACTTGTTTTAAAAATTTATAATTAATAAATGAATCATACATTTCAATTTCATTAAACAGATGTAAAATTTAACATAACATTTTCTTGATCACTCAATATCATCAGTATGATGACTATATTCTTCAGTAACAAAATGATAGTTTTGATACTCATGAGAATCTGTTGTTGCTCAGAATAATTATACTCTCAGCTGCACAGTTCTGTAATTTTAGTTTTCTCTATATTCCCTTGCCAGGCAGTCACTTTTCTTCCTGTCATTGTGCCAGCCTTTAACAGCTCATCAGYACTTTCTTCTAGTTTTCTATTTATAAAAAGCTGTGGGCTAGAAAACCTGATAAGAAACACTATTAAGAGCTGCCTAGGTGATGAATAAAGGGATAAGGAATCAAGTGCATTGTTTCACTGTAAAAGTATTTTAGGTAAATATCAATTATATTTCCATATTTTATTCCAGGTTTTATTGAGTAGCTTTCCTAAGTCTAATTTTTGTTTTAGTAGGATATCACTGTACATGACAGACTGATAGTTTTCACAGAAAACTGAAGGTTCCTGGAGTAATATCTATTCCTAATTTACTCAAGTTTAACTGGTCTCAAGTTCCTTAGTCTTTTACACAGTTCAGTGTCTTTGTAGAGAATATTATTTTTCAAACTTCAGGTCACAGCCCAGCAGTGGGTTATGAAATCAATGAAATTCAACCAATATTTTAAAACAAAGTTATGCCTGGGGTGTACTTCAGAGGCAAAGTGTGTGCTTAGCATGAGCAAATCCCTGGGTTCAATCTTCAGCAGAGGGGAAGGGAGGGAAGGACAGAGAGAGAAAAAGGAAAGGGAAGGGAAGGGAAGGAAAGGAAGAAGGAAAAGAAAGAGTAAAAGAGAAAAGAATAGGGGCTGGCGTTATAGCTTAGTGGTAGAGCCCTTGCCTCACACACATGAGTTACTGGGATTGATCCTCAGTACCACATAAAAACAAATAAGATAAAGATATTGTGTCCATCTTTTTAAAAAAAGAGAAAAGAATAAAAGAGAGGAAGAAGGAAAAAGATGGAGAAGAAAGAAAGAAAAAGAAAAACAAAGAAAGAAAAGAGAAAGGAAGCAGGCATGGTGGCACACGCCTGTAATCCCAGCAGCTCAAGAGGCTAAGACTGGAGGATTGTTGAGTTCAAAGCCAGCCTCAGCAATGGCAAAGCACTAAGCAACTCAGTGAGACCCTGTCTCTAAATAAAATACAAAATAGGACTGGGGATGTAGCTCAGTTGTCAAGTGCCCCTGAGTTCAATCACCAGTACCAGAGAGAGAGAGAGAGAGAGAGAGAGAGAGAGAGAGAGAGAATAGAGAAACCATGAGGTTCAAACTATTTCATAATTATTTGCCTGATTCACTCCCATTCTCTCATATCATTACTCCAATGTTCAGTTATAACGAACTCAACATTTAAAATAAATCGATACTTTTAAAACTTGTCAGTTTTAATTATTTTTCCTTTTTTTATTAAAGCATTAAAGTTACACACAGCAGTCAGGTTCATTTTGACAAAACTCATATATCCAAGGAATTTGATTTTAATCCCCATTCTTTCCACTTTTCCTCCCCTTCACCCTCCCCTTGTTCCTTCTTCCTCTATTCTACTAATCTTTCTTTTGTTCCTTTATTTATTTACTTTTGATTGGTACTTTCTATATATACACAAAGGTGAAATTCCCTTTGGTACATTTATATGTTCATGTTACATGATCTTGTTAAATTCATTCCATGTTTTCCCCTTTCCCATCCTTCCTCTCTCCTTCTTGTTCAGTTTTAATTTTTAATACAGAAAATGCTAAAATATAACCTACATATAACCCTCAATTATTTTTTTTAAATGTAAAAAAAAATGTTGAGACTAAAAAGTTTCAGGACTTCTTATCTAAAAAGCATATTTATTGCTTCTAATTTTTAAACCTATAATATAAACAAACCTATTCCAAATAAGTAGTATATTGTTATGTAAGTAGGATGCTTTAAAGACTGCTTTGCCCCTACGTGAAATATTTTAACCCTAAATCCAATAGGTAAACATAATAAACAAATTACCTTTCTGCCTGTAGAATTAAACTAATAGTTCCTTCTTTAAGATCAAATATAAGTGGTGTATTCCAGTTCTTTGTACTAAAAGACAGATAAAAGGAACATTATTAACATTTTAAATACTAAATTAACATTTAAAATACTCTTTTAAGTATACAGGTACTCATTTTAAGTAGTGATTTTAGTTTCACAGTAACTTTATTTGTACTTCTATTAAGGTATGTAGAATATTGCTCTGAAATTATTCGTTCTGTTCCTGCAACTAGACTGTACCCCAACTAGAAAGGAGACTCTCTGTCCCCTGCAACTAACACACGACACTCAACAAATACCTACTGCAGGTACTACAATACATGAATTAAAGAATACTGAGAATAAGCTACTTAATCACTGTGTCCTTTAGCTCTCATAAAATGGCAATAATACTAACGTTAAACATAAAAGATAAAAATTTCTCAATAAATGATACCTATTATTACCTAAAATATGAGTAGGTTTTTTTAATTTAATGAAACTTTTTGGTGATGATAGGTCCAGAGACCTCCTCATTTCTACTATTGCTCCCTGGTATTTCATTTTAATAAATATTTTATAACAATAAGTATGTTGACAACCAGACAGGAGACAAGGTTAAACATATTACCTAATATGTTTTGCCACATATTAGGTAATATAAGAAAATTGAAATGACAAAGAATAAATAAATAGGAGCTGTATTTTACTTTGCTTTGGGGAAGGTAAGAAAATGATGCTAGGTATCCAACCCAGGCCCTTGCACCGACTATGCAAGTGCTCTATTACTCTATCATATCTCCAGCCCAAATGTTGGTATTTTTGAAAGCAAACTCTCCAATGTAAGACCTAATGAAAGGAATCCCACAGATTCAAATTTTATGCTCTGTCTGTTGTAACTAGTAGAATAAATACCTTTTTTAGGGCAATGGAGAGCCCTAGTTTTCTTCAAACAACAAAGAAACTCAAACTAAAAAGATCTCTATTTTTCTCAACCCAATAAAAATTATTTAAATAACCATATTAAGTGATTATAAGATTTTCCCAGGTTCTCTAATCCTTTTCCCATATTTCAAGTTTTAATTTTGTATTTTTTTTAATTTTCCCGAATTATTATTGTTCTTCCTATCATTTAAGAAGAAAAATTCATATAAAAGTGATCTGATTATTTCTTTATTCACTCTCCTGTTTCTCCTATTTCATTATTCCAGACTTTGCTGTTTTCCTGAGTTGCAGATTCTGATTAGCAGCAGATTTACACAGAGTAAGTAAGGATTTCTAAAAAAATACAGCAGTTGTCAATTAAATTAATACCTTTGTTTTGTGTATTACTGGATTCTAAGAAAATATTATACATGTTTCAATTCATTCATTCATTCAAACATGCCGGGTTCTGATGAGTAAGACATTATTCTCTATCCTCAATTTTATAGTCAATAATTTAACTATAATCACACCATGTTTTCTTCAAACAACAAAGAAACTCAAACTAAAAAGATCTCTATTATAAATACAAGCACAATGTTTTTAAAAATGTTTTCTTAAATCCTTAAGTATTCACAACCCTTGAAAGTATCATAGTGATTACACAAGTTTTCTGGATAGTTGAGGACTCAATTGGAGGTAAGGTATAGTCAGATTGGACCAGTTGTTAAATTTTCAAGAATTTTTTAAATCAGAAAAAAAATTAAATAAAACTGGGATGTAAAATGAAATTTTATAGACTTACTATCAAGTAAATTATATTAAAAACAAAGGTAATAGATATCCAAAATATCACTTCTAGGTTATTTTATGATCTTTTATTATTATCTTTGTACCTGAAATTTTGTTTTATCTGTATGGCAGCAATACTACATATATAATGGTTTGCTATTCCTCATCTCCTTTCAACTTTGCATGAAATCACATTGTAGCTTAAAACTGGTCCTGGTAGAAATATTTTTACATCATGGAAATCATCAAAACTGCAAATCAGGTTTGTTTATTTCCAGAAAGCCAGTTGTATGTTTAACAGTATGTCCTTTTAAGTTTTTCATGCAAGTTTCCTGGAAATGTTTATTGAATCATTCCCTGCCTTCCAATACAGAATATACTGAATAGATTTCCTTTAATCTATCATTTTTGGAATTCTGGGCCATCAATACAAACATCCATGATTACCCTGGGCTATGATATTATATCCATACTAAATAATTTTGTTATCAGGATGCTAGCTGTCCCCTCTTATAGTAAACCGATGGTTCCTTTTCCCATCATTTATCAGCTGCTTCTAAGCTCTAAATTTTGAAAAACATATATACAATAAATTCCTTGAAACTAAGAGTGAACACTATCTCAGAGAAGGTATTTCCTATTATAAAAGTGATCATTAACATTTGATGTACATACTTTATTAGATATATTTTCACTGTTCGTTCATTGCTCACTTTTTCTCACTTCCTGGTTTGAGCTAAGCTCAGGACAGGTGAGGTTTTGAGAAAAATTAAGTTTAAGCCAAACAATAATGATTTGAAAACTTGAAAATAAATTTATCATCATAGGGGCTGGGATGTAGCTCAAGTGGTAGCACGCTTGCCTAGCAGGCGTGAGGCACTGGGTTCAATTCTCAGCACCACATAAAAATTTTAAAAAAATAAATAAAGATATTGTATCCACCTACAAAAAAAACTAAAAAAAATTTTATCATCACGACATAACTGAATTTTTAAGAAATGCAAGATGCTTACGAGAACACATAACATTGAAGAGACGTTGAAACAACTAAGTGTGCATAGTTCAAAGATGCTTTAATGACTCTATCACGGAATTCCAGCAAATCCACTGCATCATTAAGAACGTTGCGAACCTAAACAAGTAAAAATGAAATACCAACAAGCAACATTACAACACATCAAAATTTCAACTGAATGTTAGCAAGATTTTGAAACACACAAAAAATTCAATGCACTCTTGATTACCTAATCTCATAAAAAGAAGATTTCAACTAGGAATAAGATATTAAACACGTGGGTATAAAAACCAACAAAGTACAAATATAGATAATCTCTTAAAAGTAAATAGAAAATACAAAAAATTTTAACCTGCAAGCCTCACTGAATGCTATAGCAATGGAGTGATAAAAGTGAAAAATGTTCCAACACTGAGATATAGTTAAATGAAGACGGCACAGATAAGTTGGAAAAAGACTACATGATTTCTGCCAAAAACAATATCTCTTTTTAGATTAGATTTTACTTTTAAATTAGGTTTTACAACAGGAGATAAAATTGCTTTAAAAATCAAAAGTGGAGTAGGAGTTATTAGTAAAGAAACCAATCTGCACAGAGTGGGGGATGCAAAAACACAGAGATAATATATAAGAAGGCTAAGGACCAATTAACAAGAAGATTTGCTTATTATAATTAAGACTGTTATAAAGGTTTATAACATTCTAGTTTGTAAGGATTTTAACATTTGGTAATATTGTCTAAAATCTTGAAGGTAATGGACCAACCGCAACAAATCAATAAAAATGTTGAGTGAGTTAAACTTACCAAGTTATCTGGTCAATATCAGAATGGGTAAGACAGTATAATAAGAGGTTTAAAAAAAGAAAGAGAAAAATAATGTAATTGTACCTACAATTCTCCTCAAAATGTTATTTTTTTTTCTAAAAATAATGTATCAGGTATTAATAAGCAATAAAATGATATGAAAAGAAAGATAGGAGGATAAAGTAAAACTTCCTATAAGTACTTCTTCAAATTACTTCATGCCCTTCTAAAAGAGGTCCACAGAACTACCTTGCCACTCCCAAGTGAGGACAAGAAGGCACTATTTATAAGTCAGAAAGTGGGCCCTCTTTAGACATCAAATTTGCACACACCTTGATCTTGGACTTTCCAGCCTCTAGAACTGTGAAAAATGTTTTTGTTGTTGTTTATAAGCTACCCCTAATGTGGTTTTATTATAGCAGCCTGAGCAGACTACGACAAGTATATTTCATTTTTTAATGATCTGTTCCCCAACTCCCATCCCCATCAATATGCCATCACCATGACAAGAGAAAGCAAAATAAAGCTTATACTCTAGAATCCTATCACAAAGATAAACAAAACTATGAAATAACATACATATAGGCTATTTACTATAGCTCTATTTGCAATATCAAATGGCTGCAAATGCCCAAATGTTTATCAACAGGTTGAATAAACTACAGCACATTCACAAATAATATATAGCAGTACGATGCAATGAGGCAGTTATATGGAGTGATCTATGGGACATAGAGTAAAAATGTAAGATGCAGAACAATATATATAGTATGATATGTTTTATCTAAGGGAAGGACATGAAGTTACATGGATTTGCCTATATTTGAAAAAAAAACAAGAAACACTAAATAGTATTCAATAACAAATTATTAGAATAATCTACATTTTTTTATTTCAAAACTATATTTTAGAACATACATGGCACCATGTTTTAGGAACATGTGTTTAGGAACAAAAATTTTCTTGTAAGAGAAAACAATTGCCAAGAACAAACGAAGAGTAAAACTTCTTAACTTTAAACACAAATTACGAACCTTAGTACATATTCATGATATATTTTTATCTATCAGAAACAAAAACATTTTGTCTAAAAGTATTGAACAAATCAGTACAAATGAGCCCATACAGCACCCAACTACGGTCTATAAAAACATTTCCCTGGGGAAAAACCTGCTATGGGGTTCCCTCTTCTATTCTTCAGTAAATTGTACTTCTTTTTAAAAAAAGGTAACAATGGGGCTGGGGATAGGACTCAAGTAGTAACACGCTCACCTGGCATGCATGAGGCACTGGGTTGGATCCTCAGCACCACATAAAAATAAAATAAAGATATTGTATCCAACTAAATCTAAAAAATAAATATTTTTTTAAAAAGGTAACATTTCCCTCTAACAGAAGATAGTGCTTCCTGGAAAAATGGCTGATTTCAAGTCTGATAGGAAATGCACAAAATAAGCCTAGAATATACTGTCACACAAGAAAGCAAGGAAACTACTGAAATAATGTCAAAAGAACATAGGAGCCAATTAGCCAAAGATAGAACAATTTGATCATTAAAAAGAATTACAACTGCAATGGCTGAAATACACCAAAAATGTTGACATCTCCAAGTTACAACGATAAAAACGCAAAATAAATTCACTGTAACCAGGCACAGTGCATGCCGGCAATCTCAGAAACTCAGGTGGCTCCTGCAAGAACATCAAAAGTTCCAGGCCTGTTTGGGCAATTTAGTGAGACTCTGTCTCAAAATAAAAAATAAAAAGGGGGTCAGATCCAAGATAACAGACTGGATAGGGGCTGCATTCCTTCTTACTCCCTAACTCGGGATTCAAGCAGAGGAAATACTGTTGCCCCTGAGAAGTGTCAGTTTAGCTCCTTAGTCCATTTATTGATTGGGTTGTTTTTTTTTTTTTTTTTGGTGTTAAGTTTTTTGAGTTCTATATATATCCTGGAGATTAGTGCTCTATATGATGTATATGTGGCAAAAATTTGGTCCCAAAATGTAGGCTCTCACTTCACCTCATTGATTATTTCTTTTGCTGAGAAGTTTTTCAGTTTCAGTCCATCTCATTTACTAATTCTTGATTTTATTTCTTGTGTTTAAGGAGTCTTGCTAAGGAAGTCGAGCCTAATCCGACATGATGAAGATTTGGGCCTACTTTTTTCTCTATTAGGCACAGAGTATCTATATTGTGCAGAGGGGAGTGAGAGGAGGGGTGGGACTACGGGGATGGGAAGAATGATAGAATGAGACAGACATTATTACCCTATATATATTACATGTATGATTACATTGCTGGTATGACTCTGCACCATGTACAGCCAGAGGAATGAGAAGTTGTACTCCATTATGTGTACAATGTGTCAAAATACATTCTACTGTCATATAGAACTAATTAGAACAAATTAAAGGAAAAAGAAAAACAGAAGAACAGTAGAATAGAAGAGGGGATCAGTAGGAGGGAGGCAAAGAAAAGGGGAAGTACTAGAGAATGAAATTGACCAAATTATGCTTTTTATTTTGATCATGTATGAATATATTATAACAAATCCTACTATTATGCATAATTATAATGCACCAATTAAAAGGGGGAAAATAAATAAATTATTGTTACACAACTAAAAAAATAAAATAAAATAAAAAGGGCTAGAGGTGTAACTCAGTGGTAGAGTACCTCTGGGTTCCAGTACTAAAAAAAAAAAAAGAAGAAGAAGAGAAGGAGGAGGAAGAAGAAGAAGAAGAAGAAGAAGAAGAAGAAGAAGAAGAAGAAAGGGAAGGAAAAGAAACTAATTTGGCATGCTAGGAAAACAACCCATGATTGGAACGCTGGTAAATAAAGGAAAATAATTCAGCTTTTCTAACTTCATAGAAATCAAATGGTTGATGAGGTATAAGAATTCTAGATGATAAACGCAAAAGAAATTATTAGATTAATCTAGGCAACTGTCATCAATGGCTGCTAAAAACATTAAGGTAAGATGCCTAATAGGAAACTATACGATAGATGAATCAGGCTTATAATACCTGAACACACTGATCAAAACATTACTAGAATAAAGACAAGCAAACATATGTGCCTGCTGATGTGATGTAATAGGAAATGAACAGTATCATGTACAAATTATTCTTTAAATTTCTTAAGACTCTAAAATCTTATCAAGGCACTAAATCTAACAACCAGTCTATAGGAAATATAGAGGACTAAATGAACATGTTATATATAAATATATCATTAAGATACAATCAGGTAAATGTAGAATACAATACGTTCAAAAGAACAAATGAMCTGGTTTAATAAATTATAAATTTCATATATTAATATTTATATATTTATACATATGAAGGAGGAAATGTTTCAGACTTAAAAATTACCTCAGAGACATATTAAGTAAATGCAATGTGGGACTGTTTCTGATGTAAATAGAACAACTATAAAAATATATTTCAAAAATAACTGATCTGCTATTCTGCTATTATGGAAGGATATTAGGAAACCATTGGGAAAATGTGCAGGGTCACTACAGTTATATTTAAATGAGAATAGTTCTTATCTTTCAGACATTTTTTAAAGTCTTTAAAAAAGAAGCCAGTCAAGAAGAAAAAGACTAATATCTTTGTTTACTTCTTCTACAAGTAGGGGGAAATGACTGCAAAGAGAAAACTACTCTGATAAGAAATGTTTCTAAGGAAATGAAATGTTTTAAAGAATAGGAGATTTTAATGGTTTAGAATCAGTGCTGTGGAATAAGATACCTATCCTACTTCTAGACCCAGTTATGTGGCATATAAAAGAAAGCATTCTTGAGAAGGCTGTAGGAGAAGCACTGGTCCCAGTACTAAGGCGACTTTTAATTAGAACAATAACATGAACATGATTTCAGTGAACTTATGACACTATCTTCACCAGAAGTCTGACTGAGCTCCCAAAGACATTTTTAAATTTCCAAAATAGCATCTTCTCCTAGAAACATGATGTAAAAGTTTTAAAGCTAAATTATATGCTAGTTTCTCTAATGCAAAACAATATATCCAGTTGTTTCCTAATGTCTTTCTATAGTAGGAGATCACACTTCTCCAGTTCTTTTCCAAATATATAGTCAGTCTATTTGTATAGAAAACAAAGTGCCAATAGGGAGAGAGAGCATGGGAGGAATAGATGAACTCTAGATAGGGCAGAGGGGTGGGAGGGAAAGGGAGAGGACAAGGGGTAATTAATGATGGTTGAATGTGATGATCATTATTATCCGAAGTACAGGTATAGACACAAATTGGTGTGAGTATACTATGTATACAACCAGAAATATGGAA